TCTCGAGCAAATATTAAAAATTTTCATGTAAGATCTTTTTTCAAGATATTTCTCGCTGTTAGGTGAATTAGAAATAAATTTTAATTGCAAAATTTTCAAAAAAGCAGCCTTAAAGAGGAGAAGAAACTAACGTAACTAGGAAACTTAACTTGAGCGCTAAGAGGCTACAAATGTGCATGTATGCGTATATACACACACAGGCACTAAGAGCATCAAAATAAACTAAACGCACAGCATTTTACGAGCTCGTCCATGATTTATGAGTAACATCGTTTTGCAGGAACATGAAAAGCATGGCAGCATATGCAAACATAAATACAGAGATGTACATATGCATGTACGTGTTTGGGAACTTGTGATTTCAAATGTTTGAGTGCGTTAGTTCTGCAATGTGCGCTTGCTGGTTATGTTAGCAGTCTGTAGTATATAAATTTTTGGCTGATAAAATATATATTTGTTATTTTTCGAGTCATCAAAGGACAAATGAAATACGAACATTTTCGCAATGAACAGGGAAAGGCAGAAATTAGATATTTTTAATTCTCTCCAACAAGCTTAATTAATACTAAAAAAATAAATAAATATTTTTACACTCATTATTGTTTGCATTTACAGTATTTTGCAATCATAAAGTTTCGCAAAAAACGTTTAAAAAGTTTACACGCTTTTTATCGCACAAACCATGCGCACGCACACACACACACACACACGTTGACGAGGCAGCGGCGCTGTAATGCGAAAAATTAAATCAAAGCAACCGATACACGAATCCAATCTATGGAAATGACATCTCCGCGCCCAATGTACCGCAACGTGTGCCATCAGTTGGGTGGTTGAACTCATAAAAGTGTGGCATTGATGCAACATATGCCACCAGCGAAGCTGCTGTCGACATCAACAACGAGGCGGCTAACATGCCGCTCTCATGTGCTGCCTTGTTACTGTGATGTGCAGCAATTGATGCAATGACTCATAAATTTTGCTAAAATTTTATAATACTAAAAATGGATTTTTGTATTTTACAGCGCATCATAAAAGTCAAATACACGCATGACACCAATGCACGAGTGGCTAATATAAAGACATGGGCATACAAGCCCACTTACATATATGCTAACTGGTGGCTGTGATGTGCTTGTGCTAAATTTTTTATGATTACATACATACTCCGCTTCACTTGTGATTACTTACGCTTGGCTGGCGGAGATGCAGTTGACAATTGAAGAATTCTTTTGCGCGCTGCATAAAGTTAAATTAGTTGAACTAAGGAGCACTAAAAGTGACTGGGCGACAGCGGTAGTTAAGTTAATTCAATTAAGCGAGTTTTATATTTTGTGCCTAGTCATACCGTGAACAGGGTATATTAAGTTTGCAATGAAGTTTGTAACACCCTCCAGAAAAACGCCGGAGACCCTATAAAATATTTACATATATGATCAGCATGATGAGCTGAGTTGATCTAGCCATGTCCGTCTGTCCGTCCGCCTGTCTGTATATATACAAGCTAGACTAGTAAAGTGATTACATGGAAAAATTTTTCATTTGACGAGGTATCTTCGCGATATAAGGTACAAGTTATTATTTAAGGCAACAATGCATTCTCCGCAGAAATTGTTCAGATCAGACCACTATAGCATATAGCTGCCATACAAATTGAACGATCAGAATCAAGTTCTTGTAAGGAGCCTTTGTGAAGGGTATTATAGCTTCGGTGCAACCGAAGTTAACGTTTTGTTTTTGTAATGATGTTGGAAACATATTTAATTTTCTGTCGAAGAGGAGAGACTTGACGTAAATAGTCCGGTGCTAAGTGTGCTGGAGACTGTACTCATTAAATATATATCAGTTTTGAGCGAAATCTTAATAGATGTTGCATTTGAATAATTTGTTTATTTAGTTTTTAGTATACATTAATCTTATGATATACTCTTCCTTGTCACTTCTTGGGTTTCATATGACATTTCCGATTTTTTTATTGGTCATTAATAAAATACAATTACTATGTTAACATGTAAAAGAATAATTTTTCTTTGGTTAAGGTAGCTCGCGATACAAAGTAATACTGAAGCAGCACTTCGCAGGAAAAACTACAGTCAATTTCTCGAAGTAATTATGACTGCACTCCATACATCAAGTCAGTGATTGAAATTATTAGTAAATTTCTTCGATTGATCTCCTAAAGTTTTTTGATCTTCCAGAAAGCTATACCACTGTGTTATATCTCTATAACATCGCACTCAGTGTATATAAAATAGTATATTAATATTTTCTGATTTCTTTCCGATTTTCCCCAATCGTCTGTTCTAATATAGGTGTAATATATCACAAGTCAAAATCTAGAAATTTGGTGACATGTGTGAAAATTTGATTTGTTCTGATTTTATAAATTTGGAATTTATAAAAACGTTTTCTAGTTGGTGTCTTCGATTAATTTCTTGAAGTTTGTAGATCTTCCAGAAACCTATGTGACTGTACTATATTTTCATAATGACGCACTTAGTGTATATAAAGGAGCATTTTAACATTTTCTAATTTCGTTCCAATTTCGCTCAATCGTTTCATCAATAATAGGTACAACATATCGCAAGTCAAATTTTAGAATTTTGGCAAAGTGCGTGAATTTTTTAATGGTTCTGATTTGAAAAGTTCGGATTATACAAAAGCAATATATATCCTTGTTATCTTCGATTAATTTATGGAAAGTTTCAGATCTTCTGGAAACCTTCATAGGTATTTTACATCTCCATACTTCTGCACTTAATTTATATAAATTAGTTGCATACCATTTCTTAATTCGGTTTTGATTTAATACAATCGCGATGGAAAATTTCTTTTTGATGAATTAAGCTCAAAATTGTCCAGATTCTATAAATTTGGACTTAGCAAACAAATATATCTCTTTAGTGTAAACAATTTATATTTTCCCTAATATTATTATTCTATAAAAAAAACCGTAAACCTTAACTAATTTTGAGAAGGTATAAAATGTGCTATTTTTTGAAGATTTAAGAAATTATTGGTTGGAAATTTCTCATATATATAATCTCATATAGACTTGTATAATCAGTGAGTTCAATTCTTCATCAAAATTGAAACTTTTTTATTTACAATTTAGGGACTATGTTTTATAGAAGATATTAAATAGCAATAGCTTGCCTTAAGAATGGCCTTGAGGTTTCGAAAGATATTTCGTCATAATACTTCATTATTTATGGTGGTGATTTAATACAGAAATTCGAAAAATCTAGGCTGTTTTAGATCAAAATACTTTTTTTGGTAAATTCTCTTTTTTTTACTTCCATTTCAAGAAAAATTTCATCGTAACCATAATTTACGGGACTCAATCGAAGTTTGCTACATATGAGTTGAAAACGGGAGATTCTAATAAAATTGGAAAACAGAAATGGATAAATTTTGACCGAATTATAAGATTTATTCTTGTCAGCTTTTTAACATATTTTCGTACCATCAAAACTTAGCAAATTTTTCTCCAAAAGCGCAATGCATTCACGAAACCAATAGCAAGCTCTTAATCAATGTAATTAAAATCAACCAAATTGACACACCAACTTCTAACCAATTCAATTTATCACCAAAGCATGCAATTTACCATGAATTGAAGCATGGAGCATAGAAAACCAACGGAACAAAACTAGACTATGAATCAGAAGACAAGCTCTGCTTAATGGTAACACCCTTGTCGCCGAGACCCTGACCATGCATATTGGAGAGTATGGTAGAGGCGCCGCAAAGCCTGACACCCAGCTCGTCTGGCCACAACAAATTGAGACAAAATTAAATTAATATGCCATTTAATTGAAATTTAACCACATTTGCATTTATCGATGCAAAATATACACAAACATAATATATGCACACATAAATATATTTAGGGATGAGAAAGGATACGATTTAAGCGCATCAAAGTGGATAGCTCACGGAGGAAGTAAGCCATTTCGTGACACTCGACTAAAGGTTACCAGGTGTGTGTGTGTGACGGTGCGTATGTTAAGTTTGAAAATTGAATATTGTATGCAATAAGGTAAAACTTCCTCAATTTCATTAAACACGAAATTTGATTGAAAATTAATGTCCATACTTACACTCTGACGCCTGAAGCCAGTAGTGACCGACCAGCAGTGACCAGTCGCGCAATGTGCAGCAGGTGTGGTGAAAATAATGTGATTGGAGCGAGCGCAAGAATAAAGCTGTCAACAACAGTACATCGCCTGCGGGGTGACGAGATAGCGAAGGATACTCGCACACATATACGTGTTTGGTGATGTGTTCCTTTTTCAGTTTAAGTTTTGCTCCAAAAGAGGAGGTAAATCAGTTTGAGTGAATGATCTAGATTTGCGGCAAAATATACAAGTATATTTGATGAATTAAGCTTTATTTAAGTGTTGGATTTCGATCGATCGGCTAAACTCTGGAGAGAAATTCAAGCGCTGAGAGCGCGAGAGTTATATACGAACATTTAGTTAATGCAACACTGTAACACTATTCTTATAGAGCGAAACAAGATAAAAATTAAACTTATGATTACAGAACTTTATTATCTATATAGGTATATATATTATATGTTTAAAAAAAACTCTGAGATTTAAAACCAAATGACGACTGTGCATGGGTCTACGGTGATTTGTTGTCAATGATGCGATTTGCGGCACAAAGTATTAACCAATTTTTATTTTCGGCGTAAACCATAAAAGATTTTAAATTTTTATACAACTAGATAGGTATGTCTAAATTTGGGTTTAACCGAACATTTAATACTCACACAATTTTCAAAGATCACAGTCGTGAACATATTTTGGGGTTTTCCGGTGGTCAACCGGAAGTTCGAAAATTAAGATATTTCACAATTGTCTACATATTCGGTATTTGGGGCTTTAAAAATTATTTATGGTGTTTAACAATAAATTTCAAACATTTTCACAGAGTGTGGAAGAGAGAGATGTTGAAAATACTTAAAATTTTGAAAATAAATTAATACTTACATTCAATTATGCCGTTAGTGCAGTGAAAATCTGAAAAAAGAAGAAAACGTTTTTTATAAGTTAAGAAAAAAAAGTACAAGGAAACTAATACAACATAATTTTTACCACTTAAAAAATTAAAAAATGGGTTTCACGGCTTCAAAAAGCAAACAAAAAATTTATTGTCTTATTTAATTCTATAACATTTCTAGACTACTTTCCTAAATTCTTAAGTTGATACCAGTAATAGTTTTGGCGGCACAGCCTCGAGGTCAGCTATATAGTCACCTAAAACTTTAAACGCGTTTTTCTCTAAACTGTGTTTTCAAAAAGGGTTGCCAAGATTTCCCACGAACTGCTCAACCGATCCTAATGAAATTTTACACAGTTCTTAAATATATTCTTTAAAATATCTTGCATTTAATTACAGTTATCTTCTTATAATTACAATACAATTATTTAAAAGAAAAAAACGTTGAGAAATTGTCACCAAAATTTGCGTTTTTTTTCAAACGTCTGCCAAAAATACAATATTCATATTATTTGCTTTTTTCTCCGTCCATTAGCTAGTTAAGGCTCTTAGTTCAAACACGTACTTTTTTCTTTTTACTTCTGTTGATCCTCTCAGAAATTCTGCTGTCAACGCGGATGCGCCTTTTTCCTAGGAACTGCCAGAAATGACGTCGCAATGACCGAGTTTTGAATATTTTCCTTCAAAAATTTCACAAAATATTTATCAAATATGTATCTTCGGAATAATAAAAAGTTTGAATAAAATATTTCGTTTTTTATATGAAAAAAAAAATTTGTGAAAATAGAGCGTTTGTTGCTCGACGAAATCCAGGTAACCCCTTAATAGCAGTATTCACCTGCAAAACTTCTTTCAATATTTAGATTTCGGCACGCTTGATTACCAAAAAGGGTCTTACTCCTTTTCCCAAATTTCGAAATTGACAGCCACAGAATGCAATTAAAATCGAAACATGCACGCGGGTGGTCAGCGCAATGCTTTAAATATCGACAGCGTTGCATTTATGTTGACATGCTAGTGTATACGACATGCGGAGATGCACATAATTCGTTTCCAAAAAGAAGCGCACAGCAAGAGTTATGCTTATATTATATTATGTAAATAATGGTAATTATTATTACTACCATGTTTGTAAAGCAGAAATATTGAATGCTGGAAAATAAGGGTACTTAATTACTCATTAAATGGCTAACTAATTCAGTCCACCAACGCAAAAGCGCCGAGCCATGGCGCGTGTGTGAAATTAAAGCATACATTTAGGCATATAATTAATAGACGAAACTCTTGTTAAAATAGCAAGGCGTGAGCAACTTTTTCAGCGCAAAGTTTATAAGTTCTTACAAAACCCTTATTGTCCTTGCAACCTAGATCCTATCTTCTTATTAGTTCTTTGAATATATCTTCATTGCGACTTCTATCTTCGCTTCAGCTCATCGATATTTAATATGTTCGCACAAATTACCCAAAAATTCATTTAAACTGTCTACTAAAACTTCACACTCCTCTAATGGCATTCATTTGTGCCTTTGAATTCGTGTACTCGCCCAAGGTGGCAAGGCTCGGCAGCGGTGCGGGTTCTTTGTAGCTGCCAACAGCAGGTGTGCTTCAAAGAGTACTAATAACGAGGTATTCCGCTATAGATACCTAAGTGGCACACTCACGCAAACACGTGTTACACACACACATACATACACATTCTCACCGTTATTCTTGGCTTGTTTTGCATTGAACGTTGGCTGTCGTCTTGGTTGTGTAACTGATTGTATTGGCTTACCGGCCACTGACCAAGCAGGCAGGCAGGCAGTCGGTCGGTCGGTCGGCTGGAACATGTGCGCTGTTCGTTAGCGATAAGGACATTTCCATGTAATCATGGATGAATAATTGGATTTTGAATCTCAGTTGGTGACTGAAATGGTCACATGCTGGCACAGGTCTTTCTATTGCATTGTGTGTGTGTTGCAAGCACATGGCAGTGGCATGTTTTGTATTTGGACATGTGTATTGGTGGACATATGTGAAACGATGTACACAAATGCTGCTTGGCTAGCGTTTATAACCCAAATAATATTCACACCGGGAAGCCCATATTACTATTTAGGTATTTTCTAAGTCATATTTATTTATTACATTTCAAATGTGTAGATGTGTGTATATAAAGGGTGTTTTTAGAAGTATGCAATTTCTTTTTGTTCGTTTAATATATGAGAGAGTAATTTCTAATGAGAACAGAATTCTATGGTCACCAAAAGCTCGATGCAATCAAATGATAGTGACAAGTTCTGTGATGCTTGTTGAAATATTTTACTGGAGAAGTTAAACTGTTTTGTTACAAAAGTGGAGAAACAAAAGTTAAAGATACATTTATCAGTAGAGCTCACCAAGTATGCTGAAAGTATAAGCGTAATGACTACTAATGCTCTCTGCATGCGAACTACACCAGATAGCAAGCTTTACAGGTGCTTAAATTAGATTGGATAATCTCTTTAGTATGGTTTGAAACATTTAATATTAGAATAATTTATATCTCTAAAAAAGCACCCTATATGTAGAGAATACTCCAAAAAAATTTATGCGCTTAAAAATGTAATAAATAAAATATTTATTGTTAGGTTTAAATAATGGAAATATATCTTTATGTATTTTTATTTATTTAGTTTTGCTACGCTTGAGCTTAAAATTGCTATTAATTTTTTTTTTGTCGACCAGTGTTGATAACTTGGGAAACTAAAATAAGAAAAATTATTAACTTCGGTTGCATTGAAGCTATAATAACCTTCGCAGCTGCATTTTCTATAACAATGAAGGGGCATAAAAAGATAATGTTTATTTTGATTTGGATCGGCCAGTTTATATTGGCAACTAAATGCTATAGTGGTACGATCTGACCAATTTCTTTGACGATTCAAGTCAAATTTCGTGAAGACAAAGACAGGTGCAAAATTTCACAAACTCAGCACTCGACTCAGTTCATCAGGCTGATCAGTTATATACATATATTTTTCATAGCGTCTCTGACGTTTCCTTCTGCGTTACCGTCTGCCGTTAAGATATAATATAAGCATTTAATGAGGTCGGGAAGTGAAAGAGGAGGAGGGTGATTGAATATAGTAATGTATAGTTTTCTTGTACCATCCGAAAATAAAAATTTCAATTAAGAAAATATATACTTATTGTTTTAAAATAGGAGATGTTTTGACGAGAAAATTTTTGATTGAAAAATGGGATGCTTTTTCGGTATTAAGACAAAATAAGGTGGAAAAATTAATATTTGATAAAAAAATATAATAAATTTTAGGATACAAAAAAATAAATTTACACCAAATTTCATAACAGAAATATGTGTTTTTTTGCAAGGACAGAAGAATGACCCAAAGTAGCGCCAAGTTAGTCACCAGCAGCTTGAGGTGTTTAGAAGTTTGATGTTTTATTCTGGAAGTGCCAGATTATACTTGCAATGTTTCTTAAACACTATTAAAGGCGGGCTTAGCGCTATTCTCTGGCGCTGGTAGCCAGAAACTACGCCCAACATGCAATTATACACATAAATGGAGTCACGACTTTTAACTAATTCAAAAGCTTATCCACACTTAGTACCTGCCTCAGAATATGTAAGCAGATCATATATTTGCACGTTGGAATAGTATATATTTACATAAATATAAAAGTATATACATATATCAGCATACAACTACACTTATTGTAATTACGAGTTCAATTTCATTATTCTTGTATAAAAAATTCATGATTGTGTCTGTAAATAAATGCGCTCTAGTAATTTACTCATTTCGGCTGCATTCGAGTTTCTTTTTGCAAAACAGAAAAAAATTGGAAGAACTACTTCATTGGCCTGATGCGTGGCGAATACTAATTTAGGATAAAAGCCTTTGTGCGTAGTTTGAAAATCTGCATTACAATAGCCTTTGGCACGATAAGTGAGTGCCCCAGAAAATATTCATGTATACTCGTATATGCGAGTGTACAAAACAAAGCGCACAGTTAGCGAAAACGGGAGAATATGAGAACGAAAATTTTATTGGAAAATTTAATAATTTAATTAAAAACATTTAAATATTTAATCAATTTATATAATATATAATGTTTCGAAATAAAGCTTTTTTTTAATTTCCCGGTTTTAGTTTCCACGCCTGGGAAGTAAGAGAGGAATATACAAAAGCTCTCCAAACTTTACTTTACCACTTTCATGTGGCGGAATGAAAGTAAACTAGTAGATGTTAAGTCAATATTAAAAAAAAAATTATAAAAAACTTGTTTTGAAATCTGTGATTTTCAGAAGCTTCTCGGCCCTTTTTTTCAATTCTACATTTAAAGTTATTTCAAAAGTTTTATTAAAAGCTTCACTGTTCTGGTATTTTAGGAAGGTTTTCTACCTTACCACAACGAAACAATTAACTGATTTCAAAAAATTTTATAAACGGCTCTTCTTAAAAGCTGCAATAATCAAAAGCTTTTTTTCCTTACTCCTTCCGAACAATAAAATTTGTCAAAAGGCTTTATAAAAAGCTCTATTGGAAGTTTGTGGTCTTCAGAAGCTTCTCTATGTTATTTCAATAAAAAATAGCTATTTTCAAAAGCTTTTTATAAAACCTTGCTTTAAAGCTGTGATCTTCAAAAGCTTTTCTTACTTATTAAAATCAAACAAAAAGTTAACTCTTTTAGAAAATCTTCATAAAAAGCTCTATTTAAAAGTTGTACTTTTGATTTTTAAAAGCGTTTCCTCCGTATCACAACTAAACCAGTAACCAGTTTGAAACAACCTTTTAAAATGCTTTACTTGAAAGCTGCGATCTGCAAAAGTTTCAAAAAAAGCTTTACTAAAAAATTGCGATCTTCAAAAGCTTCTCATTTCTTTAACAAACAAGTAATAAAAAATCTTCGAAAAGCTTTATTAAATGTTCTTGAAAGCTTTGATAATAAAAAGGCGCTTCTTCACATCAAAGAATTAAAATTTTTACTAAAACAGCAACTCTGGCTCACTGTGCTTATAAATTTAATTCCATCT